CCTGTGCTGCTTGGGATGAGCTCCAGGCCCTTTTTGACCCCAACCAGGATAAACAGGTGTTTGGAGCGATTTCTTTCAAAAAATGTGGCCTAATCTACATTCCTCTGTATATTTGTACAAAAAATAGCATTTGTATATACATTTCTTCGCTGGAACATTTTAACAAATTGGAAGAGTCAAATAGGTAACACTTTACTTGCGGGGACACAAGTAACTTAGTAACTGAGTTACTACTCAAGTACAAATCAACAAATATAGTAGCTCCATGAAATACATGAACTGATTAATGACTGATTAATGATGAATGAACATGGGATCAGTACATAACTAACACGTAGTTTTTGATCAATTGATGCATTAAGTAAGCGTCTACTACTGCATTAAGTATGAGTGTACTACAGCATTAAGTAAGCGTCTACTACTGCATTAAGTATGAGTGTACTACAGCATTAAGTAAGCGTCTACTACTGCATTAAGTATGATTGTACTACTACATTATTTGTGCCCCCTCAAGTTGTGTTACCGTGAAATATGTTTAAATGTAATGAAAATGACCAAGTCATGTTTTTATTGATGATAAATTTTAAAGGAATAATTGAGTGAAATAACCATAAAACGATCACATAATGACAATTAAATTAGCCTGGACAGAAGGGAGGCTGGAGGATTAAAACAGAGCCAACAGATTGAATGGAGTCGCTCAGCGTGGATTAAATATCGAAGGATTAATGAGGATTTTACAGAGGAGGGTTAATATATAGTCTACAAAACAGACTCCCCTCAAAGTACTGCCCAGACTGAGTACATCTCAAATGTGGTTGCTGCAGGACGTGGGTGTCGTTTTTCTTAACAGAGACAGACGCACTTCGTCTACCATATCGAGTTCCTGAGCGGTCTGGTACCTCTGGCCAAGAGAACGATCTATTGGACGTCACAGCACTGCAACGCCAAGAGGAAGTGGAAGGAGACGGATTATTGGGTAAAGATGTTTCAGGAATTGTTCTGTGAAAGACAAAAAACGGTTTTGATGAGATTTGTTAACCACTAGATATGCTGCTATTGCTTATAGTTGAAATACATGAATGATGAGATGTTGCTGGTTGTAGTCATTGCCGTTAATGCCGCAGCTCAGCCATCCATTAAGGCCGTACGTGATGCCTGCCATCTTACCATATGTGCTCTCTGAGGCTGAGGATCGGCTGTGACTAAACGGGAAAGACCCTCGACCCTCTGTTAATTCCTCTGCTTATAACATTTCTTATTGTCCGTGGTGATATTCACCAGCATAATCACGATTATAAACACGGTACATACAAGAAAGCAAACCCTATGATCCATATAATTTGCACTGATGGTGAACTCATTTGCTCTCCCTCCGCCCCCCCAAACCCTGATACTTCTACTCAAGCTCAGTAACCCATCTCCACTGATACGGCCATGACCCTCCTCACTGCAGTGCGCTCCCCCGCCGTCACGTTTTGCCAGACGGGCGTGTCCCTGCTGCTCTCTGCTGTGGCCCTGCTCTCCTCCTACTGGTGCGTGGGCAAGCAGAAGATGCCCAAGCCGCTGTGCTCACCACTGAAGACCAGAGGCTGCATCCCCGTGCCTGGCATGTCGTCCAACTCAAGCTCCGCCCAGTTCTCTTGGGAAACGGGCGACGACCGCTTTGTGTTTCCTTCCTTCCATTCCGGCCTGTGGACCAACTGCCAGGAGAACATCTACCTGGATCAATGGGGTGAGCGGTGGGGGGGGGGCATTTGGAGGTGTCATCATGATGACCCACAGGGGAGTTGAGGGGACAAATAAGAAAGGAGGAGGTGCGAGAAGAGCTGCTCCTGTGGAGGCCACGTGCTTGGTGCACACAAGGTACAGATGAGTGTATAAGTCTCAGGAGTGCTTGCTCCTTAAGGAGCAGACCTGGGCGGAAATAGAACAGAGTGTCCCTTCTGTTCAACGAGGCAAAGCCAAGTCAGAACCTAAACGCTTGATGTGGTGAATGACTTCTGGGATTCAGGAAGGAGAAATTCTGAAGGATCCAGGGTGCATCTTTGAGCACTTGGCCATCACTGCAACCGTAGCCTATTTAAAACGTGTCAGATAAGGGTGCTCGTCACGCACCATAATGGCACGTGTGCATAGCAAGTCAAGATAAGGCAAAGAGATGACTGACAGGGATAGATAAGATTATGATAGATGAGGCAAGTTAGGAGATAAGAGCGTCTTAAAAGATCAGAACTTAAAGGCTGAGGGTGTGTTTGCCTAGCGGGGAAAACTTTTGCTCTTCTAAAATTTGGAGGCGAGATCATTTTAATTTGATTGTGGCCACAAAAGAACTATGTCAAACAGGTAGGAAGACAATGGTTTTGGGAAACCAGTTCTTCAGTCATTTGTCACATAAACTGTCAGAAGAGAGACCCAGCACAACACTCATGGGAGTTTTACTTACACAAAAATGTTCTGAGGGCAGAATGAAAAATGTTTGGTTCAGAGAGGATCCAAGCAACTGAAAGAGGCGGGACCAACCAATCATATGTCCTGCCTCCTCTAGTTGCTTGGACCCATTTCCTCTATAATCTGATTGATTACCTCTCTGAACTAATCATTTTTCGTTCTGCCCTCAGAACAGTTTTGTGTAAGTAAAACTCCCAAGAGCCAACATGACTGTGGAGAATATTATTTTGGACAGTAGTGGTCAGCAAAAGGACAGGCTCACGAGGATTAGTTGGGTGAGGTGATAGTGTCGCCCCCTAAGGGAAGCCAGAGAAGTCTACAATGATTTCTGTTGAGCCTAACCCGGTTCTACATAGGATTATAATGTTTTGACCCAGGGGGATTTATGACCCAACAGCAGGACTGAATTAGAGACAGTAATTGAAAAGGGAGAAGGATTGACATTAAGCAAAGAATGCAGCTAACCGGACATATTTCCATTGTTCTGGGAGCTTTTGAGAAAGGGGCATTGTTAGGAGGTGGGAGGTTCACTGGCTTTCATAGAAATCCATCTTTTGTCAGAAAGTTATTAAGCAACTCCGACCTCATCGAAAGCACTGTGTGTTTTTTCGGCAAATGAGCTTTCCTGGAAAGAACCTTCCTCTATTTCACATTTTATACCCTCGGAACCCACACCAGGATGTCCCAGAAGCATCGGCTGTCATTTGCCCACCATTGTGTCGTGCCGAAGTGCAGTGGTGTGCAGGAAATAACACGTTGTTCTGCAAATAATTTTCCCAATTTAATTTTAGAACCGGGGGTTGTTACCTGGGTGACGGAAATGCCTGGTGACGTCACGCTCACCTCCACTGCCTGTGTGTTTTCTCCTCCAGAGGAAAAGTGCCGTAGCTTTATGGAGATCACGCCTCAGTCTGAGAAAGGTAGGCTGTCGGGGCCCAATGCTGCCTGACACCTCACGCTTAGCCAGAAAACATGATCTCCACCTCCTCCTCCTTATACTCTTTCTTCTCCTCTTTGTGTCTTCCTCCTCTCTTACATTTCCCTTTTCATCCTGCCTGTTATCGTTGTTTTCTCCTTTCCTCATTTGTGTGTCACCCTCCACCCTCCTCTTTCTTTGTCCATATCTCTTTCCTTCCTCCATTTTCTGAATCTCCCCACCTCATCCCATCTTCTGCTTCCTCTCACTGCCTGCCCCCCCCCCCCGGCATTCCCTGACAGCAGTCATGCTCTGGCTGTCCGTGACCATGGAGCTGATGTACATGGGGCTGTTGGTCACCAGCTCTCTGCTGCTCTGCCTGCAGCTCTGTGTCCGTGCCCGGCTGCCCTCAGCCGCCCGCTGGGGCCTGCTTCTCAATGCCATCTCTGCCATCTTCACCGTGCTGGCAGGTAGCGGGGGGGGGGGGTCTCACTCCTGCCATACCTAACTGTGTGGGTGAGTGTCACACACTATAGTGCTAATGAGAGATCCAGAGGTGGGTAGTTCAGGTCCAGAAAGTAAAATTCCAGACCAAGATTTTGTTCCAACCAACCAGTTGAGTACTCTGTGACTGTGACTCTTTATACTCAACTGGCTGGTTGGAACAAAATCTTGGTCTGGAATTTTACTTTCTGGACATGAACTTCCCACCTATGATGAGATCCTCATGGATTTCCTGATGATGCAAAAGTATGAAGATGCCCTCATAACTATATAAGTGTGTCATACGTTTATTAATTGTATTTGTATTTATCTGTAGCACCAGAAGGGGCCAAGGAAACGGTATTTTATTGCACTGTGTACTTGTACGTGGATGTATTGACAACAAAGAACTCTTGGGTCTTGATATGTGCGGATCTGTAAAAGTTCATCTGAAAACTGCGCCTGCTCACGTTGCATATTCCAAACAATGATAAATGCGCAGTTTTGTTCCACAGCACTGAGAACTGGGATTCCTGAGGATAAATATTGAGTCTGTCATGCTCTGTTATTTGACCACACACAGTCGTCTGTCCGTGTTACAATCCTTCCCGCTTTCTCACAGGACTGCTGGGTATGGTGGGTCACATGATGTTCATGCAGGTCTTCCAGGCCGCAGCTTCCATGGGGCCAGAGGATTTCAAGCCCCACAGTTACGGCTACTCCTGGGCTTTCTAGTGAGTCTCCGCACCACGCGTTTCACCGGGGCCGAGTTTGTTCTTTTTGGGGCCACTCCTCTTGTAGTGACTGTTCGTGGCCAACAGAGGGCGGTACACCAATGCATTATTCGCTAAGTGGTAAACACCGCAGCTGCAAGCCACTACACACGACTTCCCGCAGGTGCATGCGATATCCCAGCTGCTGCGGTTGTTCCTCTGCGACTGTAAGACAGCGGAAGGTGGAGTAATTTTCTCTCTCTGCTTGGCTTCTCCCTCCCTGCTCCTTCCCTCCTGTTCCGGTCTGTCTCACTCTGTCCGCAGCGTGGCCTGGGTCGCCTTCTCTCTATGCATGTCGTCAGGCGTCTGCACACTCAACAGCTACACCAAGAGCGTGCTGATGCGCAGGCGCTCATGCGCAGCTGAACAGCCTGCCAAGCAGCCCCCGGCCCCTTTCTTCTACCCGCCTCCCCCCCTGCCCATCCCACCTCTCTCACCCTTATCCCCATACTACAGTCCCACAGCTGAGTCGCCTCCCCCACCCCCCCCACTAGCTGCCCCCCCTCCTCCCTGCTACCCGACATCTGCACCGTATCCGTCTCTCTCCCTGTCCCGCTCCAACCTCGCCTACATTCCACGGTGTCCAGATGACAGTGACTCACTCTGAGGATGCTCTGTCTGTAACCATGGAGACACCCTGAACTGCATCCTGTTTCCGAGCTCATCAAATTAATAACATAAAACCTGTACACTATAGCTCGCAATTTTCATCAGTGTTAATGCTATTTTTATTGCTTGTACTTCCTTTCTACCACAACTTCCCAACTATTTGTGTGGCGTCATTCTCAGCCTGTAGCTAAAATAGTAATGGCACCCTCATGAAATTAAAAAAGAAAAACTCTTTGCATTTTCGTTTGTTTTTTCCAATGCCTCGGAGCAAGGAACAAACACACAGGCTATGTTTAGTCACTTTATTAAAAAAAATTAATAAAGACTTTATTTTATGACACAATAAAGTCAAAGTATAAGTCCTCAAAGTTTTTCCTCAAACGTACGCCACCGGTTGGCTATAGTCAAGGAATCACCAAAGTCTGCTCTGTAGATGGCCGGACCGCCCCCACCCCCTTCGCTTGGCATGATGGTACGGCGCCGCACTCGGTCCCACAGGAACTGATCACCGTTCAGCGTCATTTGTTTGCGTTGGTTTGTACCGCAGTCCTGCGCAATCGCACCCGGCGCTCGCAAAGCCAGGAAAAAAATAGTCATACAAAGACATAAAGTGATGCCTGAAAACAGATGTGAACAGTGTGCGACTGACGCGCAATCAGAGAACCTACTCGTTCCGGAACCCGCTGCGTGACGCATTCTGCGGAATTGTGTCCGGTAAAACTCCTCAATCAGGCAACACACACAAAGGCTTCACGGGACAGCGTTTTGTCAAAGGCATAGTCTGAACATAATGCTGTTAGTTGCAACCAATCTGTCATCCTCATGCAGCGTTTACTTTATTTCTTCAACATGAAATGATTTGTTTATGAAGCGACAATACGTTCTAGACGTACAGTTAATAACAGTAACTACAGGAGACGCAAGCCTATTAATGAAATGAATATTATTCTCATATGTCTTATTTTGAGATATGTTCGTGTATTTAATACATGTTTCTGCAACAACGTATAGCGGAGAATAAGATGAATCCAATACGTTAAACTGTTAATGAATTGTAATGTTGTTACAGATTTATGCCTTTAAAAAATCTCTCATTAGAAATTAAAACATGACCCACAGAAGTAACTGAATAACAATTACTGTGGAATAGTAAAACTCTAGTAGCTGTCTTTAGACACAAGAGTAAAAAATTTTTATATTGACACATTTAACCTCAGCATACTGACTGATTTATTTATTGTTGTGTCTATCTGTCCACCTGTCTGTCCGGACATTGTCTGGATTCTGCGCTCATGTCAACCACAGCATTGCAGAATTCGACACCCTGCAGTACATAACTCAGAAGAGAATTTTCCTGAAACTGTGGAAATTACAAGATGTTTATACAATGCTTACAAATACTAAATATTCCACTTACTTCCTTTAAGTGTCCCTATAGCCCTCGTTTTACTTTATACTAATCGTTTATAGTTTTTTAAATCAGTTGTAGATTTGTCAACTGGTAAAACTTTATAAACCATAATGAGCATGGTTAAATCTCAAAGTAGTCCTACCCCCCCCCCATCACAAATACTACATAAAAAATTGATGGATTCTGTCAAAGACTTCTCCCTTATTTCACCTTTTTACGAAGCACAAAATAAATGATGCTGGAGATTAAGGTTAGACTGAAGGCGATCCAGGCAAGAATGAAGCAGTATCCATACTGGCCCGGGTCATTCTTGTGGAAGATGTCCGTGTAGATGGAGGCAGCGATCATTATGCACAAGCCTGGGAGAAGGTGCAAAGGTACGTGAGATATATGAATGTATCGGAGCCAACTTTATTATTAAATCTATGATAATCACATGCACACTCACACTACCTGGCCAAAAGTATGTGGACACCCTACCATCACACCTATTTGGGCTTGTTGAACGTCCCATTCTTAAATCATGGGTTCTAATATGGAGCTGGTCCCCCCTTGCAGCTATAACAGCTGCCACTCTTCTGTGAAGGCTTTCCACAAGATTTTGGAGTGTTTCTGTGGGAATTTTTGCCCATTCATCCAGAAGAGCATTTGTGGGGTCAGGCACTGATGTTGGATGTGAAGACCTTGCTCACAATCTCCATTCTAGTTGATCTCAAAGGTGTTTGATGGGGTTGAGGTCAGTGCTCTGTGCGGACCAATCAAGTTCTTCCACACCAGCCTTGCCAAACCTTGGATTTATGGGTCTCGCTTTGTGCACAGGGGCAGTCATGCTGAAATAGTATAGTGCCTTCCGCAGACTGTTCCACAAAGTGGAAGCACACGATTGTCTAAAATGTCTTTGCCTCCTGGCAAATTAAGATTACCCTTCACTGGAACTAAGGGGCTTAGATCAAACTATGGTGAAACAGCTCCAAACATTAATGCCCCCTCCACCAAACTTTACAAGTGGCACTGTGCACTCAGACAGGCAGTGTCCTCCTGGCATCTGCCAGAAAATGTTTCTAGTGATCCACAGTCCAATGGTGATGTGCCTTTTTCACCTGGTGAGCTGATGCTCAGTGTTGGACATAGCAATCTGGCCATGGAAACACGGTCTATATCATGCTGCTGGTGCTTCCTGAGGCAGTCTAGACATAGCAATCTGGCCATGGGAATGTGGTCTATATCATGCTGCTGCTGCTTCCTGAGGCAGTCTGGACACAGCAATCTGGCCATGGGAATGTGGTCTATATCATGCTGCTGCTGCTTCCTGAGGCAGTTTGAAACTTTGCAGCTAGTATATCAGCTGAGGAAAAGTGATTTTCGCTTCAGCACTCCGTGATCCCGATGTCAGCTTGCATAGCCTAATTCTTCATGGCTGAGCTGAGCTGTGGATGCTCCTAGAACAGTGAGTCCCAGTCCGGTCCTCGGGGACCGACACTCAGTCCATGTTTTTGCTCCCTCTGAGCTCCTTGTCAGACAGTCCCTGGTAGGGAGCTGGGAGAGAACAATAATGTGGACTGTCTATGGGTCCCCAATGACCAGACTGGGAAACACTGTCCTAGACGCTTCCACTTTACAATAACAGTTGACCAGGGCAGGTCTTACAGGGCAGAAATTTGATTAACTGAATTGTTGCAACGGTAGCAGCCTATGGTGGTGCCACATTGAAAGTCACTATTTTTTATTATTGGCGATTGCATGGTTCTGTGCTTGATTTTATGCACATATACAGCAATGGGTGTGTTTGAATCAGTTGTACTTAATAATTGGAAGGGGTGTCCACATAATTTTGGATAGTTATTGTGTCACGGGCAAATGAAACTTCATGAACCAATTGCTTTATTTTCTGACCCCACTAGATGGTGCTGTCTGTTTATAAAAGGGCTTAAAGCTATAAAGCAGGGGTGGCCAGTCTTATCCGCAAAGGGCCGCTGTGTATGCAGGTTTCTGGGATAACCTTTAGGTCAGCTGTTCAAACCCAGGTGTGAGGACTCTTCAGCCAATCAGTCCTCTAATTAGTGACCTAATTAGGGAGTTGCAGCAAAAACCTGCATACACACCGGCCCTTTGCAGATAAGATTGGCCACCCCTGCCCTACAGCAATCAATGTGCACCATCTAGTGGGGTAAAAAAATACAGCAAATGGTTCATGAAGCTTTATTTGCCCGTCACTATCTTTTAGACTGGATTTAACTTTATCTTAACATAAAGAGGTACGTAATGAAAGATGTATGAATGATACCTTAATTTCTACGTTTCTATAAGATAAAGAAGTGATATCTTATTGAAGTAGCTCCTATGATGTGCTAATGGGTTGTAGCCTTCTGGGATGATTTTGTGTAAATTAAATGTATGTGTGATTCAGTTTTTTTCCAACTGCTGCAGAACTCACAGGCGAGGAACTGGAAGACGCCAGAGAAGATGAACCTTTGTCCCTTTTGCAGGGTGAAGAGCTGAGCAATAAACACGAATAGACCGAGGATGGCAAATATGCAGGCCAGCACTGAAGTAGCCTGCACTGCCTGGAGGTACTCTGCAGGGGGCGAGAGAGAGAAGCATGAAATAGGTCAAATGGTCCAAATCAACACAGTCATACACAACGTGGGCCAGCAGTTTACCGGCAGAATAAACCTTTTAAGCTCATTTTATATAGAGAGGTAAATGAGTTGTTAAGCATTAAGAAGAGGAATAATGATATGTCACAACACTTATTCCTTTGTTATGTCTATCTGTACAGCATATGGATACCAGTTTTTAACAGCTGACATCACACCATTCAGATCAACAGATCCAACTGTACTTTAGCAAAGTCTTGAACAGCTGCCTGACCTCACTGGCTGAGAGAATGCCTGAAGCGGCTTTACCTTGTGAGTTCGTAACAACGCTAGTGAGGTTCCAGTTTCCATTTTGGTTCACCCATGTCCCCCACAGGTCTGTGGTCATCTGCTGTGTCACCCACCATGACTGTAAGACACAGAAGGGTTAAAGTATTCTTAGCAGTCTGATTTTATACAGGATTGTATTAGAGTTTCTAAGCATATGGGTAAACAGTTGCTTCACAAAGATCCATCCATCCATTTTCTGTAACCACTTATCCTATCCACTCACAAAACCACACCCACGGACAATTTGGTAACTAAAATTAACTGGTTGCAGGTGGAAACTGGAGTGCCTGAAGGAAACCCTATGACAGGGCTATTCAACTCACAGTCCTCAAGGGCCGAGCCCTGCTGATTTTCCAGCCTTCCTTCACCTGTGAGCCAGGTGTGAAGCCTCTGACCAATCAGAACCAGTAATTATTGAACTAACTACCTGGGAGAACTGAAAACAAGGCCTGAATTTGGAATCGAGGGCCTGAATTGAATAGCCCTGCCCTATGACAACACGGGGAGGACATGCAAACTCCACATACATGGTGGAGACTCGAACCCAGGTTCCAGAGGTATGAGGCAACAGTGCCAGCCACAGCACCACCATGCCACCCTACCTCACGGAGGGTTTATCTCCCCAATTTTGTAATTTATATTTTGGTAAGACATCTGTGTCAATAAATACACAACACGTCAACATGAATTCCAAAATGATATTTTGTGTATTTTTGCATTTCAGATATAACGTTAATGAAACTGTCTTTCCAAGGTTTGAGAAAGGGTTTGATAATGGGGGGCTACAACGTAATCATTTAAATGCAAAAGTCTATTTTTTGGGAATGAAACCAAATTAAATACTGGGGGGTATTTATCTACCCACCCCCTGGTTCCTATGCTTGTTACTTTCCTATATTACACTGTTGAATTGTTAATAGGTGTGTATTTTTATTTTTATTTGGGGGGGGGGGGGGGTACTCACGTTGTCGATGGTTGCCACAAGAAGCAAGACAATAGTGGCAATATGAAGGAGGAAGATTCCTGCCAGGAGAATCAACATGGTGACTGTAAAAAGAAGATGAGTTGCTTTCCGTGAGACAGCACAGAATGCATCATGTGCTAGTTATGACGTGCTGAAGAGTAGCAGGTAAGGACACAGATTGCTACATCGAAGACCTAATATCCAAGGCTGTCGTAAAAACATATATAACCTGAACTGCACCTGTAAAATATCCTTATAAAAGGAAAATCTTTTGAAAAGTGAGACTAATATGACTTATGAACTGCAGTAAGACAAACCGATGTTGAATAGTGGTTTAAGTAGGGAACACCAAGCCGTAACATAATAGCATCCAGAGTGAATGACATGGACTTAAGTTGTAAAGCCCACACAGTGAGACACGGCACACCGGCAGAGAGTCCCTCACTGTGTCCGGGTGAACAAGTTACTACAAGGCATGTCTTTGGGGAAATGAGAACTGTATAGTCACGAAGGCAACCATTCTTCACTCTCAAATGAGTTGAGACTTGCCCCCAATGTTTCAAAAAAGTTTTTAAAAATTGCCACACCTTAAAATAACTTCAGCAAATACCTGATTCGCAGTTAGCACTTACCCTGGGAACACACCCTAACTTAATCGCATACATACAAACATGGCAGCATTTATACGAACGACTACCAACTACTCATTGTTGTTGTTTCCTTGAATCAAGTCCATGCTATTGAACTTCCTGCCAAATATACACATCTTAAATGTGAGTTTATGCCATTTCTGCAGCTTATTATATGTACTCTGTAGTAGTGTAACGTTGTGAGTCTTCAGATCGTAAGATAGCTTGATTACTCTGGATTAATTAGGTTGGTAATTAAATAGTAAAAACTGCAAGAGGTTCCAAACTGGATAGCTGCTACTGCCTGATGAAATAACAAAACCTGTAATGTCAATTTTTGTTGTTTTTCAGATGAGACCTAAAGTCAGGCTTCCTCACATGTCAGAGGATTGGGAACCAAAACTCATTCGGTCCTCATGCAATTCAATAAAGTCCACACAATTTTTTTTTATCAAAAACTTAATCCGTGGCCTTGAGAGAGTTTTGGAAATTCAATCTTGAATTAGGTTTTTCATATGCATATATAATTTTTAAAACTAATGACGACAGAATGACGGATTTTCCATTTGGAAGGACAGATTTTAATTAGTGGAATGAGTGAGATAAATGAAAAATACTTAGGCTAAATTAAAATATTATCGACAAAGCCAGGTTAATGAGTTCCTCTTTTACGTACACAGCAACATTACGTAATGAAGTAAGAGATGCTTTTTCAATTCCATGCCCCATTGCCTGCATTTATTGTTTAGTGCTGAACGGGCTGAACGTGCATGAGGTGTTTTCGAGGTTCGATGGCTACGATCTGGTGGATCTGGACGCTAATCGGTGTCATAACCGTACGTGACCGTCTTCATTTCAGGAGTCACAGTACAGTCTCGCTTATTAGGACACGCCTCTCGCTCATCCAGTCGGACGGCGCTGCCCCAGTACACACCCATGTCTGTTACGCATCAACACAGAATGTATCGGAATACATCGTGAGATTTGCTTTTAATTAACTGTTTCCTATAACGCCAATTTCATCTTAATCTAAAACAGAAAACTAAGCAAATGAAAACTATCTTAAAAGTTTATGTATACGTAAAGTATAAAATGCAAAGCCGCGTTATACAATCTGTAAACTTCTATCATTTGAAAAATATAAAGATGCATAGAAATTCCGCGTTTTCTACTTGTATATTTTTTGAACGTTCCACTTCATATTTGTGGAGTTTAAACCGTAAAGTTTATAAATAGTGTTCCCGCTTAGACGCATCAAATGCATTGCTGCAGTTAAATAGAATACTTAAGTTAGTCATCAGTTAATATAGTGCAAACAATAAAACAGATATATTGAAGTTCTTTAATATTGGGTAAATATATTCTCACCTTTTGATTAAGGGGAGTCGTCCGCTGAAGTTTTACCGCTTCGAAGTGCAGTGGTAGTTTCTGCGTACCTGAAAAGCCTTGGCCGGCAGAGAAAGCGCGATATCCGGGATGAGTGCAAGTGTAAGTGAATCCGTAAACTTCTTCTGTATCTATCTGTGCTAAAAGAAGCAGTGTATCTTCTTAAATTCACTATGAAAATTTAACAGTGATGTTAGATGGATTCCGATCTTGATGAGCAGCCAGAGGAGTGTCCTTCTCTACGCCCTACGCATTTGCAACTTTCACCAACTCGCAAGAGCCTTGTCCTACTACCCAGCGCGTGCTCCTCCTCCAAATATATCTGTCGTCCCTCTCTCACTAACCTCACCACAACCCAAATCACGCCACCCATGTATCCTTGTCTATTTCCTCTAAACAGCCACATGTCCCTTTACCTTTACGCAAGAGTACCAGCGCTATCACAAATCTTATACTGTATAAACACTAGGCTATACAGTGCTTTGCGAAACAGGCCGATAAATGCAGGCATTTCAATCAAATTCACAAGGTAATCAATTCGAATTTTACCCTGGAGATTTTTCTAAACATACTTCAAATTAATTTCTGATACTAAGTGTAAATGTATTCCTGTTACCTGTCTGGCTAACCTTAACCCTGTTTCATCAGTTTAGAGTTTGCTTTTGGGGTCTCTATTTTTTTAAAGTCTTTGTATTTTCCCGTCTGTTTAAAGAGGGAGTAATGTTTCAGATGCCTCGCTGTGATTAGTCATCAAGTAATATTACGGTACCATGGTGTTCCCTGGGCAGTATGGCCCAAACACTCAGACTGCTATGTTTTTCCTGTCCTCCACCCTCCACGAGTATAGTCAGGCTGAAGGAATGTAGTTGACCTGGGAATGAGAGGGAAGCATGGTAGGATGATAGGATGAGTGCAAGTTACAGCCTGACTCCAAGGGGGGGGGGGGTTTGGGGGGTGTGTAGTGTAACGTCCACATGTGTGGGAAGACAGACAACATTTGTCATAATGATAGTGGAATATGTAATGAGTGACGTGGTTACTATGCCAACCAAAGGATACAACCAAGTTGTATGTTAATGACGGTGTCATAGGATACCAAGGCAGCCACCGGAAAGGAATAGTCATGGTCAGGACATCAACCAGAAGCTGAAAACAAGAAGAGACTGGATTCCTTTGGAGCAGTGTTTCTCCATCCGGTCCTCGGGGTCCCATAGACAGTCCACGTTTTTTTGCTCCCTCCCAGCTCCCTATCGGGACTGTCTGGCAGGGAGATCGGAGGGAGCAAAAACACCAACTGTGGGTCCCCAAGGACCAGATTGGGAAACACCGTTTTAAAGCAGTGTTTCTCAAACCAGTCCTTGGGAAGCCCCGGACGGTCCACATGTTTGTTCTCTCTCAATTTTCTGGGAGTTGGGAAGGAGCAAAAACGTGGACTTTCTGTGGGTCCCTAGGACTGCTTTGAGAAACACTGCTTTAGAGGGGACTTCTCTTGGAGTTGTAGCTCATGGCAAAAAAGTAAACATTTGGTGCCGTAAAATATGGACGGTGACTCCATTTTAAATTCAAATTCTTCTTTGAGTGGTGGCCCATAATTGCAGACTGTGCAGACAGTTGGAGAAATAATGTGGATAGGGAGATTACTGAAGCTTATTTGCAGAATTATGGGGTACCCAAATTGTCACTTGAGGTCTGTGGAAAGGGTAGTATTGTATATCAAATGATCCGTGCGTCTTCCAACTAGTTATCCAGTATGGGTCACGGGGGAACAGAACTCTGGAATCACAGGGCACAAGGCAAGCACCAGGCTATGGAATGGCAGTCTCACATGATTTATTTTACATTTAATTATTATACTGGAGACAATGGTTTTGTGTAAGACCACTCTAGTTACTGTGGGTCAACTGGTAGATAGATTCTTGATGGAAGCAGACTTATGACAGAAAGAGTGGTTGGTGAGATCCCAAGCGATTATGTCACAGGGCCCTAAAATGAGGTTGTCATCCCGGATTGCTTCATAAGCAGATTAGTGGTTATTGTTATGTCTACATCAGTTGTATGTATTGAGAAAATAATCAGTGTGATGCAGTCATCATCTCAACACTTCCTGGGGTGAGGTGGAAGAATTCCATAAAATCTCATTCATCTCTAAGGGTGTGAGCTAAGGGTATGATTCTGGGCAGAATTACTAATAAGCCAATGAGCACCTTATCACAGAATAGTGTCACAACACCTAACTTATGCGCAACAAAAAAGGCTTTCACATACACATACACATACACGCACACATACGCACACATACACACAAACACAGTACGGAAGGGTGCAATAATGTCGTTAAACCTGATTTGAGGCAGACCCAACCCACAAAATAAATTCTAAGTACTTAAAACTTCTTACCATCCCTTTACTCTCACGAGGCTGCAAGCTAATGAAAAATTAGTTTGTGGGATGAGCATTTTATGAAAAGGCTTCAAATTGTTAAGTTGCAATGCCTCCTCACCAATATTTTGGTTCGCTAAGGAGTTTTTTTTTTTGCTGTTGATCTTACTTCCCTTAGGAGGTTTTATGTCCGGGGTTCTGCATATGCTCAGAAGAACCGCAAAAGGGTGACGCAAAGCCTGTCTGAGGATCCGAAGGCTTTACCAAGTAGTTCCCTCCATGAGTCACTGCACTTCTCACACCCAGTAGTGAGCTGTTCCCACATGTCTCTGTCAAACAGTTTGTCCCCGCATGCCACTTCGGTTGGCATGACAGCAACCACGGAATGTTTCACAGACACCAAATGACTCCGCCCCCAACCCATGTTCACCTGTTAGACCAAGCTTCCCCAAAAACTACAGACCTCCGCCCTCCTGCTTCCTCTGGCTGGGGTGTGGCTTAGGGAAGGAATGGTTTGGTTAAAGCTTGCTGCATCTCCACTGATGGAGAATTTCCAGTACCTCCTGTATATTTACCTTTCTGTTTGCTTTTCAACCTCATAAACAGAAATACATCCCCTTTAGCAAAAAACAAATGCATTCAGTGCAGAACAAATAGGAATACTATACATTTTTGTCCCTTGCTTTCAGGGTTTGAGGCAGAACATCAAGTCCACTGGAGAACACATTTAATTTTGCACTACATCCAGTGCTTGAAGTCGGGAAAAGCAAGTGCCAGTATTCTCCTTGTTATTCAGTACCAGCAGATATTGAGGGGTGCCAGTACACAAGAGATACACACTGGTGAGTACTGGTCCACCTCAAGCACTGCTGACATCACTGTCCACACACCCCTTCCACAGACACAGTGTTTGCCTTCTGAACTTATGGCATCTGCAAACTCTCATGGATGTCCCAGAACTGTTGCTAAATCTGTGCTTAATTCACAAAATGTCTCTCTGAGCAGAAGCTTCAAAAGTGGTTGAGGCATAAAATGCTTCTATGCTGAAATGACAGGGGATGTCATGTTAGGGGATCATGTGAAATATTTTAGAGGGATTGTAGTAATTGTAGCCATATAATTATTATTTTAAATACAAAGAAACGTTTTATGATTTGTAAGGTATATTTCAAGCAAGTATTTATAATTATTGATATTGTGTAATTAGAGAGAAATCCTGAAACATTTTGTAAATGTATAACTCCAGAATTTAAAAATGCTGAAAAGTGTTTTTTTTTTTTTAATTAACGATGACACATTTTGTTTTTAAACTGATTGCGAAAATCTCTCAGGCTTCCCCCACTCCCTGCCTACTTTGTTTTTCTAAATTAAACCCAGAAGCATGAACATATATATAAAACAAAAAAAGACTACAACATAAAAACAACTCACTGTAACTAGGCAACCTAAAATATGAGTCACAACCGCGCCCTTTTGTCCGCCACCCCCTCACCGCCCAGCCCCACCCAGTTTACTCTGAATCTTTTTAAACTTCTCGTTTCCTCTGAAATCCAGCCCATTCGCACTCATCCGGTGCGTGTCATATTTGCTTTGTATCCCCGTCGACTATGCAAAGAAAAGTACTATTTCTAAGTATTATGTTTGAAAAATTAACGTGTACATTACAAAAATGTGCATCAGGCATGCTACGTGTATAATGTTAGTAGTCCCACAGCAAGCGTTTGCATTTATCGAAGTATGCCAATCTGACCGACTTCAGATTTGGTAACAGAAATATTGAAATACGATGGTCTTTGGCGACTTGATCAAAGCAGCATATCAGGCGTACATTTCAATAATCAGTCACGTTTAATGGTTGCGTCGAGTCTTGGGCTTAAACTACAGCTGGCAGCTCTGCGCTCGACGCCGCCATTTTCTGTTATTGGCGCGCGCAGTGCGAGGCGGCGTTTCTGCGAATCACAGAAACTGAAGAAAACGGCAACCAAGACCTTGCACGTGCCAGCCCCAGCTTCGGTGGACTGACGTCAGCGTCGCGCGTACCATAACGAATAACGGAGGTAAGAGTCCAAATACTTCTGCTGAAGAGTTGAACATTTTAATCCATATAACCAATTTTTAAACTTTTAAAGGTAAGTCCTCGCAATTATGTCTAAATATAGTTCAGATAAATATAATTATTTGGTGCCACTTTACAGTAAGGCTACCTTTATAAAATGTTTATGAATGGTTTATAAGCAGGTTGTTAATTAGGTTGTAACACTATGTAAATCATTAATAGACAGTTATAAACAAGTTATACCACAGTTTTCTTTTTAATTAATGCGTTACTACCATTTATAAGTGGCAAAAGGGAGCCTTATTGTAAAGCAGTACCAATTATTTAAATGCAATTCTGATTTTGTCTTTGACTCTTTTAATGGATAAATGTAACGCGGTGACGTTTCTAGGCCTCTATACTATCAGTTGTTCAATGGATTAGTCGAAAAACCTTTGTAGGTCAGTAGCCTTTGTTTGTGGGTGTGCAGAGTTGTAAAATGTCAAAAGAAAAGCAGTCGTTTGAGCTATGAGCAGAGTGAACTGACCTTAATGTGTTTTATTAATTTGTGTGCAGAAAATGGTCTCATTTTGCGCCTCCATGTCAGTATTGTCTGGACTCGGTAGTCATTGCACCTGATTTTAGTTTACCGTACTTTCTCTTGACCAGTCGCTCTCTTACAATTCATGAATGCTTACAATGCGGAAATGTTCCACTAGAGGGCGCTAATGATATTTATCATTCGCCAACTATAGTTTACTTCAAACGCAGTTCTGTTGTATTTCACTATGAGGTGTCGTAATGCAATACATTTTGCCGACCGAGGTTGGGGTGCCCCGCCAGAAGTGGCAGAAGTACAGAAATTCTTTATTAAGTAAATGAAATAGACACTTGAAAAAGTACCATTCAGTATAATTAACTAAAAATTGAAGTATAAAAGTACGCACTGGTACATGTACTTAAAGTGTAAAAGCAGCTCCATAACTGTGCATTTCTGATGCATATTTAAAGCTGCTTGCTTTCTTATACATTACTGTGAACGCCAACTCTACAAATATAATAAAACAGGAGCTCCAATGTTACAAACTTCTTTTCTCCTCAGGACATGGTATCAGCTGGGTTAAATAAATATGCTTCTAGACCAGTGGCCTGTACTACGAAGCGGGGTTACTGGCTTATCGGGGTAACTTGCCAGATTTAAGGTAGTATGGGCAAAATGTAAGTGAACGAATATGAAGTCCATTTAAACTGTGGTACCTTAAATCCAACAAGTTACCCCGATAAGCCAGTAACCCCACTTTGTAGTACAGGCCACAGGGGTGGCCAATCTTATCCGCAAAGGGCCGGTGTGTATGCAGGTTTTTGGGATAACCTGTAGGTCAGCTGTTTAAACCCAGGTGTGAGGACTCTTCAGCTAATCAGTCCTCTAATTAGTAATCTAATTAGGGAGTTGCAGCGAAAACCCGCAAACACAGCGGCCCTTTGCGGATAAGATTGGACACCCCTGTTCTAGCTGCTTGGTGCTCTCCTGTACTTTGGTTTGCTTAATGATGGAGAAGAGGTCATCCTCCTCAGGGGAAACTGTCACCTGGACAAACTATTGGTTGATCCTTCTAATGGCTTCAGATGTAATCAAGACATAACCCTGCTGAAAAAACCAGCATAGACCAACAGAGCAGGTTACTACCATGATCAGGATAATGCATACTGGATATACCAGTATATGCTGTGTTTTGGTGCTGGTGGGCTAGCTTCATGTGCAGGTAAACCAGCACAGCTATACTGGTCCACAAGCTACACCAGCACGAACCCGGAACTAACAACAACAATCTACAACACTCCACAACAGCACTCTACAACAACAATCACCTAAACTCTGGACACTCGCACATATACCTGGACTGTAGAGACTGCCTGATCCTCTCGGCATCATTGTGCTATTATTATTATTATTATTATTATTATTATTATTATTATCACTACTACTACTTGTTTTTGTATCATTATTATTGCAGCTACATGCCGAGTGTCCTTACTGAACCATGTAACCTCATGGCCTGTGTGTACACATTCTAGCACTTGTCACTTTATACAGTAGAATTCCAGGTCTTAGACTATGGCTGCCATTTGGTTGTTTGTATACAGTATATTGTTTATAGATTCATGTCCTTTCATACAACATGCTCATGTTGTGTCTATTGTCTGATCCTGTCTATAACTGGTGTTGTAACACTGAAATTTCCTTTCATGGGAGTAATAAAGTTCATCTTATCTTAACCAGCATAGGACAGCATGGGAATCACACTGGTCTGTAACGTTTTTTAAGCAGGAGCAATGGCTACCAAAATGATACAGAGTACATACACAAGTACAGTGTATTACCTGATATTTTCAATAAAAAAGCACTATCAGTAACAAACGATGCTATCACAGCGAATGCGAGGCTGAGACTGAAGCGTTACCCTTTGTTTCCGCTGAGAGACGTGCTGCTTGACTCATTTCCCCGTGCGTACAAGTTATCTTAGGTTGGCGTTCATGGTTTGACTTCTGAGATTCAGATCAAGTTCTAGGTCATTTTTTTTTCGAACTGGTTGGTTCGACTTTTAAGAAATTAGAGTTCTAATGAGTTTGCGTACTGAGGTACCACTGTATAGATAATTGCCAAATAGTACAGTAACAAAGTTGTTTTGTTTTCCATCTCTGTCGCCTACAATGAATTTTGCATTTACCCATCGGGCCACAGCCCAAAAGAGTATTTGATGCAGAGTACATTTAAAGCACCATACTTTACTGATGGATCGGAGTAGCTGGCTTCTGTGCTTCCAAGAGAACAGAAAAAAATATTTCATATAAAGCCCATTCTACTATCAGTTCTGAAAATGGCTCTTCAGCATTTTAAGCTGTATATAGCTGTTAATTTAAGCATCCAGTCATTTTCGGCATATTTGTCCCCATTTCTGTTAAAGTTACCGCCAAGGTCTTGTTTGATGCCAGCTGCCAGTGTTCTCCTCCCAGCAGTACTGACTCCAGTACAGTTTTAAATGTCTTGTGCTCCACCGGGCTGCTGAAATATACTGGGTTTTTCTTCTGGCTTCTCTAAAATCAAATAAGCAGAAGGCACAGCTTGGGGAAACACCACCATTTTAATTATTAAAGAAACAATTGGCAACATCTCAGGTTAATGGTAGCACGCTAGCATACGCGACAAAGCTAAGCAGAGCCCCGCGGGTTTCGAGCTCTCCACATCGATCCGGTCCGGCCACAGAACAGCTGGTTGACAGTGACCGCCATGCACAAACAGAGGTTAAGAACCACGGAGACCTTAACTGGACCCTGCGCGGCTCATCAGGTTCCCGCGAGCAACACTGCGGCCTATGAGATAATAGCTGGAAAGTTAGGCGGCTGTGTAAAAACACATCGGTTACTAGCTTATAAGTTCCTTGCTCCCTTGTTTCACTGGCATGTTCCTGCGCTACAGAAAACGTTAAATGACATCAGCTCAATGTTTTGATGATGTCATTCTGCAGCAAGTACAAGCAATTTTAAGCAGGCAAGTCTGGCACAGTTTGTAACAGAATAATATTGACGTTTCGTCTCTTTTTTTTTTTTGACTGCAAACTACATAAAAAAAGACAAGAAGGGCCACGAAACAGACAGGGGACAAGTCCTGGTGTTGGCTGCGGCTTGGTGAAGGCTGGCAGGAATGATGCTGCAGGGCTTCGACGTCTTAATTGTTCGTAGTAGATATTCAGCTAGTAGACGGGGAACCTTGCCTGGCTATGCTTAATGCCATTCATGAGGATGCTGCAGCACACCACAGCAAACACCTGGGAAATGGTGGGTATGCAAACAAGGAAAGGGGACCAAACTCTGAATGCCCGCATACTCTGTGCCCGATAGAGAAAGACAGCAAGATATTCCTATTAAACGTTCAGAAAATTTTGGAAAATGGCCTAATGAATCAAGAGATTACCGTCATACTCAGAATAAAACAGGTTATGTGGCGAAAGTGCCAACATCAGCTGAAGGAAAGACACTAAAGCCTAGCGATGGCCAAACGAAGCCTCATGAACCATTTGCTGTATTTTCTGATCCCACTAGATGGCGCTCTTGGTTTGCTTTGGGCATGCTTTGTGCCTTTTTTTTTTTAACAGAGTGCAACATCGAGTGGGGTCAGAAAATACAGCAAATGGTTCCTGAGGCTTCATTTGACCAGCACTAGTAAAACCGAAGACAGTAAAAAGAAACGGGATTAGTTGGGTGTTGGTTGTAGTTAATAATTAGGCTGAGCATGAGGTATCTCTTGCTGGAAGGTGGTGGAGGACATAAGGATGTAAGGGGGACCAGATGAAGATGAGATCCCTTTGCGAATGACGCAGCTGCAAACCAGCGCAAATAGCTGATGTGGAGGGTTAACAGGGAAGGAACCCCGAAATTAGTGACCGATACAATGAGACAGAAGGGGAGGGGTGGGATGAGTTGAGTTGAGTTGAGTTGGGGTGGGGGGGGGGGGGGGGGGGGGGGAGAAGAATACCCATGTTAATTCTTCCATACATCCATTTTATATATGCATTTATGCTGTTCAAATAAATTCTTGCTCTTTTGTATTTCTTTGAATATAATGGCCTTATTAAACTTTCCATTTCCCTAGCTATGTTTGGATCTCACTGGATTCCAACAAAAAACTAATGCAAAATTTGTTTTAAATGTACAAAAATATTTAATACACATCATTGTACCTACCATCAAGGCCAACATTCCAAAGAATCCTCCCATAAAAGCAGGACTTCTGTAATCTTTGCTGGCAATGACTTTAGGACATGCCTGACAGTAAAAAACAATGGAGGTGTGAATTTTCCCATAATGCTCTGGGACACACAATGGAGGTCTTCCTTTTTTTAACACTGCTACTCACAATGAAAGTTCTATCAAGGAAAATTTATGCTTTAAATCCTGAAGTCCACAAATCCATGGCGTGTTACTGTATAAATGTCAATTTGCACATCCCACATAGCTACCTCATCCCCATATCGCACGACTTTATTTACTCTTATGCATCTTTATTTTATAATGTGCTGTCTTGTCATTTACTCTACTCCTGTTTGTTTTATCCCCCATGCTCCCATCCACCCCACAGCAGGGTACAAAAAACCCACTATATTTTCCAAACATGACAATAAGATGTGGAACTTTTGTTACTTTTTTGCAGTGTAACGATTGCACAAAATATGATGGATGGGACTTTGGGCATTTACTACAGCTGGACAACACTGATCAGAGAAATGGACTCACCGGTACAGTGAAGGATTCGAGAAATCCCTTCTTGGGGCACGTTTCTCTGACTATGGGTTCAACAGCCTTTCCAAAAATTCCACAACAATCAAACTAGGAAAGAAGAGCCAGAATAGAAAAGAGAAGGTTAATATGTTAAAAACAATAGATCCGTCACTCTACAATATAGGAGCATATACATTGTTTCTCTTGTACTATACGGAGTGTGCTCGGTTTCCTTAGTAACATTAAAATAACAGTGTGCCTGCATACTTGAACACACACATATTGTCTGTCTTGTCTGTGTTTGTGTGTGTCTACATATACACAAATACAGTCAGACAAGTTTGGTAGTGCGTGAAGAGCTCGGGGGGTTTACCATGTTGTGGAAGAACTCCAGCATAATGGCCATGCTGGGGTCTCCGCCCTTGTCGACATACTGAAGGTATGTGGTTGTGTATGCATCTGAGAGCAGCTTTCCAACCTGCCGGACCGTGTGACAGAGGATCAGGTCACTGTGACGGCACCTATAGAACTTCCACCTCCCTCTCTCATTCTGACTGTCCTTATATTCACATCAGTCTACCCACTTTCTGTCCTGCCCCAGACAGCATTGTAACAGAATACACTTAGCATATTAGTTTTCAAACAACGTTTTATATATATAACAGCCCTTAGGACGCCGTTTGGAAAGTACCCCTCACCCGCTACCAAATTTGTGCTTGTCCGCAGTTTTCTAATGGCCCCAAACAGAAAACCCTGTTGCACTTTTCACCCATCACACTGGTTAAATTATTTAGTACTTATTCAATTTGGCCGCTGCATACTTTGTCCCTCCGCCCCCCTTTCTTTCCCACTCACCTCCTCGCTCTTCACGATAGCCAGTGTCCCAGCCGCAATCGCGAAGGTCAGCAGGAAGCTCAACAGCATGACGAACTGGAGTTGATGGCGGATAAGACGTTCACTACCTTACACATTCTACTTGTTTGTGGTCACGTTTTACATTTACTCAGCAAGGGTGGCTAACAATGTAATGCGTTCAGTGCATCAGCTATGAATGCAGACACAACAGCATCCAGCATCGCCACTTGAACAAACAGACCACAAGTGAACTGTATACAAAATGAAATTGATGACTGGGAACAGGTCTGTAGCCAGGGTTTGAAAAAATAGTGAGGTCCGGTACCTGGGGGTGGGAGGGGCTGAGGGGGGTGGGTCTCGTCAATCACACATTACATACATGAGGCCTGTTTTGTTTGCAAGAAACAGATTTTTATTGATATTGAAAGTCTGGTTAGGTTACCAAGCTATGTGGAGCTATTATATGAATGAACACCATTACAAGCTAACATCTTTGTTCTGATATCCAAATTTGGCTTGAAATGTTTCTGTGGATACTATTAGCGAGACCATCCCCTTCATAAGCTGTTTATAATTTTTTTATTTATTAATGACGTTATGTGTAACATTAGTTAGCCTAATCTAGCCCATTAGGTGTAATATGAAAGAAACCCAACCTTTAACATGGTCAGAGTTGCCTAGCCTATGTTTATATTTAACATGTTTCATACAGTTATCTTTACTCCAAACACCATACCACATCGCGGTTTCGGGATGTTTTTCATAGATAGCGATCGTTGTTTGATCTTACCGAATGATGTGCAGCTGTGCACCCTCCCTCACAGTGCTGCATGATCACAGGCACACAACGTGAATTCGAACTGCTGTCAGTGAAGTGCACTTGTGTGGTTCCCGAGTCGCGCATCATGCTGATACTGAATGATCTAGCTCTGCCTCTCTCACACACACAGCAGACACTATTAATATCACATTCGAACTGAATTAAGAATGCACCTGGCCCGCAGACATTTTCAGCTGCTGATTATTTTTTTATTGAGGTGAATATTTAGCTTCAAATATAATTTTTAGCTCTTAAAATTTTTACCGAAGTCCGGACCTCGGTGATCTCATAGCTGGCTACGGACCTGACTGGGAAGAAGCTTAGAAGAAAGCTGAAGAAGTTAGCAAGATGACCGATAGACTGATCCAATATGTTCCTCATAACTTCAGACGAAAACCCAGGAAGAGACCAAATACTAAGGACATGTGGAATGTAGCATCATAATATGGTGTGTATTTGGGGAGGGGGTATATTTTTAATTAAGACCTACGTTTCCAAAGAGACGTCTATGTGCTGTTTGCTGTGGCGGTTAAAAATCGTTACTGTTTTTTTCCTCTTACCACAGTCAGGGCACCTTTACTCTCATTACAGGCTCCATAGTTCCCGAATGCAGAGATCACCATCATTAATAGGCCAAGAACGATCAACAGGGTCACCACTGAAGGAGAAAGCAGAAAAAACTCACATTGGTACACGAAAAAAACATACTACTTCAAAAACATGAGTAAAAAAAAAATATATCTTAAATAAATGTGAACTATGTTAAATACCTAAATTAATGTTATGTAACATTTATGTAAATTGTCTAGCTTTAAATTTGGAGGCTTTGAATGTGAGTGTTTGGACACAAAAATGCACAAACGTAAGACTTGGTAGCAGAAGAGTTTCGGATGTTCAAAGCAACTTCCTGCACCTGCTCTTCTCTGTCTTGCTTATGATATTTATAAATAATATACTGTATAAAACAAAGTACTGGTCAAAGAAAATTCTGTTTAAACGATATTCATGTTGGTGGCTAATCAGTACCTCAATCAAATTTAATTTAAAGTAAATGAGTTGCTTGAGGAGAGATTTGGGAACCGAAGCGGTGTGCATCTAGCCGTCCACCAAGATATCAGTAACTTTTTGGAGAATAGTATATATAAAGAACACTGTACCAATGACAAAGGATGTCGTGTTCAGATCAACATTGAAGATTCCTCTTGTCTGAGCGCTGAATCTCACCCACATTCCAAGTGCCATTATTGCAAAGCCAATAAGCTGCAGATGAACAAGGTGTTTGTTAGGCTCGAAGAGCTGTCATATTTTCCGCTCTGCATTAATTTTATCTCAGTTCCCTGACAGTACAGCAATCTGACGACTTTAAAGGTCATACAGCGTGGAGGCAGCTTGAGTCTCCTGTGACCCCGACCACTGAACCACCGTTCAGAAAACGGAGCCGTTGCCGTTATGATGTGACATAGTGCGATGCCTGAAGTATGGATTTACACAATTTCTTAAACCAGGGAACCCAAAATTAAAATGGAAACAATCCAGGGACTCCTCCGCATGAAGACAGTTTGTTTACGCTCTTCTGGAAATCCTACATGATGATGTAGGGCAGGGGAATTCAACTCAACCTCCATGTGGTCCGGTATCTTAACATCGAGCCAAGGTCGGTACTAATTACGCTTAACGTTTCATAGTCTGTCATGCTTCTTATCAAACTTTTAGATTTAAGTCAAACATTTTTTACAAACATTATTTTAATTTCAAAGTAAAACGAATTTTGAAAGTGCATGTATTCCCTAAAACTGAGGCACAGTACAGAATATATAAAATTACTTTTTCTGAACAATAATATTAACAAGCTATTAATACTAATCGAAATTAAGGTCACCTCGCCTAAGGCGAATTAGATGAAGGGCGAGTTAAAAATACTGATCACTGTTACGGATCTTGGCAGGTTCGGTGTTAGACCAGGGCATAGTGCAGGCAGGAACAACCGTAGACAAACAAGGTTTATTAACTGAACTAGAAAACACAAACAAAAACAAAGGACCACAAGGGGTCAAAAATGAATGGGGATAAACAAAGACTAATTACAGAAACGGAGCATGTAAGCATACAGACTTCAGAAACATCCAACAAAACTTAATGAACCACTAGTGAACTAAACAGAGGCAGGGACTTAAATACAAAATGGTAACAAGACTAACAAGGGATAGGTGAGATTAATGAAGAAGGTTGGGAAACCGGTCATACGTGAAACTAATTAACTCAAAAGAACTGAACAGGGAAACTAAGAACTAACCAAGGAAACAGGAAACACAAAATCTAACGCTGGGGAAATAACAGACAGGTGGAAACAAACAGAGACACAAGGAACAAAACCAAAATCAAATACAAATCAGAAGACACGGGAACTAGAAAAACTCATACAATGAAACACTAGGGAACAAAATATAGAAACAGAGGAGGTGGGATTCGAATACGTGACAAAAGGCATTTTGCTCAACACGTTGAGCCATGCGGCTGACGGAAAGCAGGAGAAGCACAAAGACTGACAGGAGAGACAGGATGGCCAGCGATGTCTGCTGGCCAAACGGAGAACGGACACAAAAGACTGAGACAACCGGAGCTGACCCTGACAGATCACTAGTCCGCTAGCTAATAAAAAAATGCACGTGGGCTCTCTCTCTATATACATCCACCGTTGCTTGTAGGGAAGAAAATAGCTATAGATTGCCTCATTGCATTTCAGTTCTTCTAGATTCATAAAACAACTTATTTAGAGTAAAATATGAGAAACTTCATTTAAAGCCAGATGTACATGCTTAGAAATACATGCTTAGAAACTCGCCCAGAACAGGACAGTTCTTTGTAACCATACATGCTCGCTGTTGCGCGAATGGCAGGTAAGCTGATCATATGATTATCAGATTAATAAAATCGGCCACTGAGGTTGAATTAGTAACATTGGTATCAGTATTACGACTATGCATACTTTACGACAGAACTGTGCAAATAAAACACTAATGGCGGAAATGAAATTACAATACTTACGCCCAACACGATATTGACGAGAATGAGAATACATTTACACAACTGGGAACATCCATCGAGTGCCATTTTCGCTAATTCTGCTTGCTCCTTGTGCCTGCGTGGTTCACAAAACCTTTTACCACCGTTTGGGCAATGGTATTCAGCCTTATCAACAGACTACAGAATTCACTGAAATAAAAACAGAAATGTATTTAATAGAAAGAAATAAGGAATGGTACCACGGGTAAAAATGGTCAATCTCCTTACCTGCTTCTGTTTTTTAGACAGAGAGATCGGCCGAACCTCAAGCGCGAGACTCTATTGGCTGGAATCGTGACCACAATCTGAGAAGAAAACGAAACCAACTATACTTGTTTTTCGCAAAAACGCAACCGAATCTTATGCTTGGTGGCGCAATTAAAATAAATTTGAAATAAACATTTGCATTTTAATTGCAAATGAAAATACATAGAAGGTTCTGATCATCTATGAATCATGCAACACCCCATTGATTATCGAAATATTGCAACATTTGAGGGGGAAACAAGTATTTAGTAGTAACTCAGTTACTACTGAAGTACAAATCATGAACAAATGTAACCGTTTGAGGCAAAAGATGCGTCACGATTCATTAATAATGAACAAACGTGAAATCGGTATTTCACTTGTGTATTCCTTTAGTAGTTCCTTAGTAGTTCCTTCGATCCGTAATTCACAAAGGTTTACAGAATTCAATTTTTATTTATTATTAACGGATATAGTAACAAATATAGTATAGTATAGATAAAAGATGTCACGATTCATTAATGATGAACGAACATGAATACACTATGTAAGACTTAGTTTCGATATCCAGCAAGGGGATTCATCTGTCTGCCTTCCGAAGATTTACTCTGGACAAGATCACATGGAAAAAAAATAGGGAGAGCATGCAAATTCCACACGGAGCCAGAGCAGGATTTCACTCCCCCCAAAGGCATGAATGACTCAATTTAATGTGTGATTATGTCAAAGGAGAGCAAGATGGGATTTGTTAAAATAAGCATTTCAATGCACCAGCATTTCGGCAAATGCCATTTTTCTTTGTTATTTTACTCCTGCAGTCTAAAAACGTGCCAGGGAGCAAACTGGCGCGTGCAGATGGCCCCTATAGCGCGTGCTGATACGCCGTCCACAATGTGAACTGCGCTTCCTGGAATGTCCCAGGCTCTACGTCACCCTGAACTGAGTGTAAGGGGAGTTCTACTTGATTAATATGCTCTATGTGCTTCACGGTAAAGCAAGGATCATGCCGTAAAATACATATCATGGGGCATCAAACAGAAATATAGAAAACACTACAGTTACTAGTGTTTGATTTCATTGCTTTTCGTTTTTTATTATTATACTCATTTTAATGAGTTTGTTGTGACTTTAATCTTGTTCATATTTATCTTTTTCTATTACTTTTCTTTGTATTACATATTTCCTTTTGAGCAGAATCCAGGAAGCAAGTGGGAAAAGCATTTCTCCACATACATGTAAAGTGCATGCTTGTGTATGGAACAAAGAAAACGTGAAGCTGAATACACTTTGAGCAAAATCCGTGATTTTAGCCGAGGTTTTGATATGGCTAAGCTAACACATTCTAACAGACTTATTAGAATAGTTTTACACCACCATCCATCCATCCATTTCCCGAAACTGCTTATCCTGGTCAGGGTCGAGGGGCTCGGCTTTCACTGAACACTACTGTTCACGTCCGCTGTTCGTCGCAACCACACCACGAAGTCAGCGGAGCCGCTGCGGCGCGCCGTAGCCCTGAAACACGCGGGTTTGCTCGTTCCGCATTGTTTCCTTTTCTCACCCTGTTGTCTTATTTATTGGTCTTTCGGCGTTGCTTGCGGCACATCCCCTATCTTACTGTTAGATCGTCGACTTCCAAAAGGAGTAAAACACGTCCTTCCTTTGACTAACCCTCCACACTTCTCCTCGCTCATGTTTTTTTTTGCCCCCCCCTCACCTGTTAGCAATATTAGCTCTATCCATACGTTTGGATATATGATCTGCCCGATGGTATTTTGGACCAAAACGAGGCTACTGAAAACAGCCAAAAAACTTAGGAATTCTCACTCTCGATTATTGTATATACAGTTTGGAGTGGAAATTTGATACATTCAAAATGGGATGACACTCTATAACCTACCAGCTATTAATTACTTGCAGCGTGGCGTTATTTGAAATATTATTTTATGCGATATAAGCGACCAACAACGTGTCTTAACAGAATATGTAAAATTCAAGGGAAAACGTACGCCTGTGTGTTCACCCATGTCGGTGTGCGTTAAGGCGAAAGAGGAGGGGGGAAGAGGACGGAGTACATCTGGGGGGTGGAAGGAGGAGGGGATTAGGCGCACGGTAGGGACGGAGTCGTTTTCCTAGCAGCCAGCGCACACGCCGCAAGAATACCCGGAGCGGATTGGGAAAGGACAAGAAAGACCGAATGGTTTTTTTTTTATGTCGGGATAGCTTTTTGTACGAAAGAAAAAGGAATCGTATCAAGTAGCAGGACTGGAGTGGCGATTCGAGTTAGCGGAATGTGCAATTAAGAATAACCGATCTGGACTTATTTAAGACTGTCCTGTGGATTTAAAAATGTGTTTCAAAGGATGCTTCCAATAACACGAAAAATGATGGCAATTTATGCATAATCACACGCTGGTTTTATAGCGATGGTCTTTTTTTTCTCGTGCCCGATAGTAGGCTAAGTAATTAGCTGTGAGTGTATAGAAAAATTTACAGAAGGATAGAAAAATGTTCTCGCAAATGTGATACGTTTTGCAGCTGCCTTTTTGGAGACAACGAAATAGTTCACATTTTTACATAATCTGCAAAATAACTTCCTATAGGCTACCTAATATATAGTGAGATATGCAATAAAGTGGGTTGTATTTCCCGATGTATAGTAAGTATATGCGATACTTAGGTTTTCACTCCCACGAATTTATTTTTAGAAGTTAAGTATTAAGTATTAATTATGTATTTAAAGTTTTTTCCTCCTAAATTTAATAAGGCCAATATTGGTCATTAACATAACGTCGGCCTATGTTTGTATTTTAAATTCGATTCTGGTGTCACAATATTCTGATGCCTTGTTATCATTTAGGGTCATGTATTTTTGCGTCGCTGGCTGGCCTGTCGCTGCACATTTTGTTTAATCACGCAAACACAGCCATAAGCAATCACGCACATTGCTGATCGATACATTGCAAGTTTTCCTGGCATTTATGTTTTCCGTCTCCACGACTTGGAATTACGGCTTTCGTGGTGTTAAATATTTTTCATCATCATTCTGTTTTTGTCGTGTTAAGTGAAGGCTACTTGTGCTGAGATTAGATAGCGTTCCGCACATTCAAAGCAGGACTTCCATACAAAGGGGCAAGGAGGCAACGGGAAAGGTAGAGAATATACATATCTGGAGGACACTATCGTTCAATGTTAATGTCGACCGACGTCGCATCAATTCTTTTACCTGTATCCCGGGGAATAATGGACCGGGAAAGGGATGTTGACAATGCAGCCGGAGGTCACGCAAACCCGGCCGGAGGATCAGCATCTGTAAGAGGTATGAAAAGAGGGGATCCCGAGCCTGACGGACAAACGACCGCAGTATCTCTGCCCGAACTGGCCGGGGCTGAATGCAAGCGACCAAGGATAGACGGGTCGGGGACTGTCGCTGAGATCGGACAGGTAAGAGGCTGCATTGTTACTGCAATTGTTCCAATACTTTATCATATATGGATCAGCACTGAGGACAAGGCCACAGGCAATGTGAAGCGTTTCATGTGGTCCCCGGTTATTTTTATAAGAAAATATACTGAAAGATTCGGGCCAACAAAATGCAATGCTGCATTAAACACTGTCAAAATGCGCCCTCTCTCGATTTAAATTAACCCATTTAGACGCCTTAACGTGATATATAGCGCAATGCAAACCCGATTATTCAGTGACAGTTTTTATAACTCAGGTTGTTGCAGCCGAAGTCATACGCACTGACCATGCCGCTGGAGTGGTGATCACAGGATTCACTACTAATCGCCCGCTAGCCCCGATCGGCCGGACGGAGAGGTGGCCCCACCGGCCTTTTTTTCAAACGGGTGTCGGATCGCAGAGATGAGACCCCCCCCCCCCTTCCCACCTCAAACACACATGCCTGCCACATGGGCCTGCAGTCGGTTAAGTCACCGTGTGGATGACAATCCAGACGGTGGTGGCGAGGAAGAGTGTGTGTGTGGTGGGGGGTTAGGAAATGTCACGGCTGCCGATTGAGAGGTTCCCACGGAGACACCCGCTTACGGTGGGATGAGTGAGCTGGAGGCTGACTGGGCCTGATGCAGGCGGAGGTGGGAAGGGGGGCAGGTGAGGCCACATGGGCAGGAGAATGTCCGCAGCACTGTTCTTCCTGCTTCCTCCCCAGTACTCTCTCTGCATCCCCTGAAATGCCCCCCTCTCCTGCCCCCAAGGCCAGTTTCCAAATTGTTAATTGACTGCTAGTGAACAGATTCTCTTTTATCCAATGAAATGCTCTGCCCCTGCCCGCTCCATCTGCGCCCGTCACCCTGTACAGTATCGATGCACTTAGCTGCTCTGCGTGGTCCAGAGTGTACAGTGTTTACTTTACCACCCCTCCCCCCCCGGCTGCTCCCTCCCTCCCAGAGCCCATTTTCCCTATCGTTGGCGGTAAAGAGGCTTTGTGTTGGACTAACAAGATCAAAGCTCATTTAGGGGAGGGCATTAACCAGGCCGGTCTCTGGCGGGGGAGGGGGGACCGATCCTGGGTTCTGCTTCTCAGTCCGTGCCGAGATGGAGCCAGCGATGGCCGGACTTCACGGCACCGCTACAGCGCAGCCAATCCACCGCTACCTTTCTTGGTCATGTTATTCTTGCTGACATGTCAAATTTGGAGTGTTTTTTTTTCCCCTCTCATCCTTTGTAGTGTATCAGACACCCTGCTGCTTGCTCTAATCCCCCTGTTTAATGAATGCTATTGAACTTTGAGCATAAATATTGCTATGGCACCCTTGACCCTGATGATAAGCAGTTGCAGGTGGAGTTGGGTGTATTCAGAGTGTTTTTGATACATTGTGAAGTGCCTGGGATTCTAACCAAGTCTTCAATAGATTAGATCCAGACTCCAGCTACATCTGATAGGTGTGTGAGCAAACTGTGATTTGCTGCCGGTCCCTTACTTCCTGGATGAGGATGGTCCGGTCCCTTACTTTCTGGATGAGGATGGTCCGGTCCCTTACTT